GGGGGAGGGGAGATGTGGGGGGCTGTAGGGAGGAGGGGAAGTTCCTGGGCTCATACTGGGGTTTCTAAAATTCTGCAGAAGGGGCTGCGGGTGGAGGGTAATTTCTGCCCTGTTTTGCTGGGGAAAGGTGCAGGTGGCTGAGTGTTGGGTTTGGGGTTTTTTCACGGTTCGTTCAGAAGAAGCCCCTGTCACTTTGGCTTCAGCTCCCACAGAAGCCCCGGAGCCAGGGGGAGGGACGGCCTGGACAGGACCCAGCTCTGCTGGATCTGGTGCTTGCCGCCCTGAACCGGGACAAGGGGAGGAGGTCGTCCAAGAGTCCAACAGACAAAAAAAAAAAAAAAGTAGGAAAGGCTGATGGGTTCAGGGTGTAATCTGTACAGTTACTGTGAGTTTCTTTGTGGCTGTTTTAGGTCCCCAGCCTGTCCCAGAACCTGACAAGGGCTGCATTTCATGCTTGGTGTCTCCACCGCTTTGGTAGGAAGAGTATTTTTCAGGGTCTGCACTTGATTCTTGGTCTCTTTGCCCTTCGTTGGCTGAAATGCAAATCCAGCACTTCCCCTTGGTCGGACACTGCCCTTAAAGGATCTGAACCAAATTAGAACCAGGAACCCCCAATTTGCAAAAGGGGTGCGTTCTAACACAGGGCTGCTGGCGGCGGAGGGGGGGAGCCATCTCCCCGGTAGGAAGGTAGCAGATAGCCGAGAGCTGGCGAGATGCATGGGGGCTTCTGGAACCGCAGCTGTAGCTGAGCATTCCCTCTGAAGCTGCTCTTCTGTGGGCTTCCCCCCTGCACCCGGAGCTGCAAGAAAGCAGGGAGAGTTCTTCCCTCTGTATCTGGAGCCCCTCTCCCACAGTGCTGCGCCTTCCCTTGTAGGCGCTCAGTACATGTTTGTGGCAAGAATGAATCTTCTTAAGTACAGGGCGTCTTAAAAGCGCAGGTGTTTGTAATCTACACCCCACTTCACCTGCCATTGGGTGGCTGCTGGTACTTATTATTCATCAGGTGACCGGTTTTCTATTTACACTCAGCCTCAGCCTCGGAAAGAAAAGGAGAAAGTGTCAGGCTCGGAAATTCAGAGCAATTAAGGAAAATCAGTCCTGGCTGGTGGTAAGCCCTCAGGGGCAGGAGGGTGAAGTCTGCAGGTCTGGACCCCGAGGGAGGTCAGGGCACAAGTCATTCTCAGCCTGGGGAGGGAGGTTTGTCACCCCCTAGAGTTCTCTGTCTATCTCTCTCTCATGGTTTTTCTTTCTTAATTCCCCCGCTAGGGTTTTGTACTTTATAATTTTGCTATTATAATGTGTAGAGGCTTAGCTGGGAAGAACCACGGTCAAGTGGCTTTGCTTCCCTGGGCTTCTCTGAACTCAGAGTAGTTGGTGGCCAAGTTCTCTAGACCACTGTCAGGCCCCCTTGGGAGTGCTTCACAGGAATCTCTCCTGTAAATCTCCCTCCCACCTCTGAGCTCGGTGCTGGTGGCTGCCCATTTCACAGACGAGGAAAGGGAGCCTCAGAGGAGCTAGAGATTTGGCCAGCTTAGCAGTGGCAGAGCTGGGATGCGGAACGCTGCTACCCACCGCCCTGCTCCAGGAAGGAGGGGGGCCTGGACGCACCCCTTAGAGCAGAGGCAGAGCCTTGCCTGTGGTGGCCTGACACCAGCGCTCTGGAGCCCCTTGGGACCTGGTTCTGTCCCCACAGCCAGACCCCCAGGCAGTGTCTGTAAGGGCGGGGAGCCAGGGCCCAGCCCCTGCCTGTGCAGCCCTCAGCCCCGAAGCTGCTGCCTGTTTGACAAGTGACAGGACTGAGGCCGAGCAGCATAGTTCTGAAGGGTCCTGCTCTACCTCTTCCAAGCTGGGACCTTGGTCCAGTGACTTGAGCTCTCTGGGCCCCAGTTTTCCCACTTGGGACCCGGGATCCATAATGGTCTAACCCTCAGTATCAGTGTGAGGCAGGGGATTGGTGATCCCCGGCCCACCCCCTGTGTTTGTAAATAAAGTTTTATTGGCACATGGCCACGCCTGCTCTTTTATGTGTGGTCTGTCGCAGCTTTGGGGCTACACTAGAGCTGTTGACTAGTTGCAACAAGGCTGGCAATACTTACTCTCTGTCCCCTGACAGAGAAAGTTTGCTACATTGGGTGTAAGGACAGTTCCTGCATGCCGGCGACAAAGTTAACACTTAGCAAGTGATAGCTAGAATAAAAATTATTTTTTTTAAAGTAAGCTCTACACCCAACGTGGGGCTTAAACTCACCACCCCGAGATCAAGAGTCACATGCTCTACCGACTGAGCCAGCTAGCACCCTGCATTATCATTATTAAGGTGGAATTACTTGCAGAAAATCACAGGGCTCCTTAGTGGTTGAACTGGGACTTGAACTCAGGTGTTTGGGCCAGACCCCTGGACCCCATGACACAGTATCTGGCCTCTGCATGCTCCTTCACTGGCAGGGGCAGGGAGGGGGTGGTATCCAGTGGGGGGGGGTCGCTTCCTAAGCCAAGAGAAGGAGGTGTGGGCACGTGGGAAGAGAGCTGGGGACTGGTGGATGGGTGGGGTCTCTAATGCTTCTTGGACAATTTCCTTTCTGTGTGCTCCTGCACCCAGACAGCCCCTTTCCTGAACTCCACCAGACTGCGAACTCCGTGCTGGAGGGGCTCGTGTGCGTTTCCTTCATGCCCAGCTCAGCGCCAGACCGTAGCAACAATAGAATAACGAGGGAGAGGCGGTGGCGTCCACTTCTTATGTGGTGCCCTGGCCAGCGAAAGAAACTGAGGCACGGAGAGGTTGTGGCCACGCAGGCAGTAAGCGGCACAGCCAGGTTTTGACCGCAGGCGGTTGGGCTCCAGAGTCCCTGCTTAATAAATATTTGTTGAAGGAGAGTGAGGGAGAGAGTTGGCCGTCGGCGTTCTTGGTGGCGCCCCGCCGGCCCCCTTATCTTGTTCCTGGAGTTCACGGAGGGAGGACTCCGCAGCTGTCAGCTAACCCCACCCCGGGCCCATGCTGAACTCTGGGTGACCCCGGCTGCCCCTCAGGATTTACTGTCCACTGCTGGGAAGGACACTCCAAACTCCAGGGAAGAAACTAAGGCCCAGAGAGGGCTGGGGCTTGGCCTCAAGCCACACAGCCTGCTGGTGGTTGCTGTCAGGCAATCTGGGTCTCCCTCAGAACATTTTCCTTGTCCCCCAGCTGTCTCCCGAGGGTCAGCTGGCCCCCGGGGCCCCTCCGCACAGCCTCTGACAGGCTTGCAAGAGACGTGGGCTTCCCCTGCTGCGGAGCGGAGGGCGCCCAGGCCGCCTGTGGCGAGCTGCCTGGATTTCTCTTTCTCCCCTAGACCACTGCCAGAAGGCCCCTGTGTGTGAGGCTGGGTGCGGGTCTCTGCTCAGGCCCACCTGAGTTGAGGGAGCGGGCTGGAGGCGAGGGCAGGCCGCCAGCTCCCCAGCTCCCCAGCTCCCCGTCCTCAGGTGCCCGCTCTGGGGCTGACGCCGGGAGGGGTGATGGAGCTCAGGCCCGGCTTCGGACTGGTCCGTGGGAAGCTGCTGGGTCCGAAGCAAACCCATGGCTTTGGGGCAGGCTCTGGAACCACCCTAGGCCTGCTCTGAGGGATCTGAGTCAGATAAAAGGACAGCATTGCTATTTCAGTGGTGATTGAGAAAGCTGCTTATTTACAGCTCAGAAACTCAGCGGGGACAAGCATTTCGGCTCCCATCTAGCACTTTCCAGGCAGTCACTAATTAATCTTCCGATACCCCTGAGAACTGGGGAGGGGCTGCCACATTTCCATCT